CGCCGGTTGACGCAGGCGACTTGGCGCCGACTGATGGCGGACGAGCGCCGGAGGCGGATGGCGATCGGGCGCTTAACGCTGATGGCGGCCGGGCGCCGGGTGACGCTGGCGACTTGGCGCTGACTGATGATGGACGAGCGCCAGGTGACGCTGGCGACTTGGCGCCGACTGATGGCGGACGAGCGCCGGTTGACGCAGGCGACTTGGCGCCGACTGATGGCGGACGAGCGCCGGAGGCGGATGGCGATCGAGCGCCTAATGCCGATGGCGGCCGGGCGCCGGAGACGGTTGGCGATCTGGCGCCTAATGGTCGGGAGCTGCTTGTTTTTAGCGTGCCCTTCTCCACCTTCCTCCTCTTGACCACTTTGTGGAGTGGCGTCAGGCGAGTCCTTCGCCGGATGGCGATTTCGGCTACCGTGGGTAGCGGAACGGTATTCCTTATCCGTGGCGTCGTGGATGGTGGTGTGGCGACTGGCGCCGTATTGCTGATCAATGTTAAAAGCGACTTGCGCTGGAAAGTAGGCGACTGGCGCCGAGAACTTTTCTTCCTCTGTCGAGAGTTAGCGCCTAGCGCTTTTTTCTGCCTCTTTCTCCAACGTTTTAGCGACTTGCGCTTGAAAGTAGGCGACTGGCGCCAAGAACTTTCTTCGTTCTTTCTCTGCAGGGGGTCTAACCTATATTCCGGCCGGACGGCTTTCTACTTGCAGGTTGGCCCGGGCGCCTTGCGCCGCCTAGCGGTGCTGCCCGCAACTACGCGCGGACGCGCTATATGCCCGCCGGACTGCTTTCCACATTCTTGTTGTCCCGAGCGCCTTGCGCCGACTAGCGGCGTCTCCCGCACTACGCGCGGACGGGCGAGCGCTTGCAAGAAACGATAATATTTCGCAAATATCGCGCTGCCGTAATTTTGTGGTTGCTGTAGGCCGCCACAATATATTTAAATTATTATCCAATAACTAAATTATTATTTATTTATTTGCCATATAAGTATATATATACATATGCATTGAAAAAATTTTAGAATAATATTTCAGAATAAATTATTTGCATGACTTCAATCAAATTTTGTCGAAAAACGAGGGAAAAAAAATAATTTACACATATTCTGCAGATCGCGTCACATTATAGAATTCAGGGTAAATGTTCAGATTAACTTACACCTCACGGATCATTTTCTTTTTTACATATATTATAGAGGGCACATTCCTAAGTAACACGCACTTTGAATTTTGTGGCGTTCTCTTCAGGTTTCAGAGATATGCGATTTTGAAGTATCATAATTTTCGCATTTATTTCTATGAACCTCGCTTCGCGTGGAAAATGGAAAAATTCCAGAAGCTTCGTTTCCAGAAATGTAAACAAACACTTTTTCCACATCTGCTTTACACAAATACAACGTAAACAAACTTTATTTTTTCTTATTTTATAACAGAAAAAGCATTAAAATTGTGAAACTTTAAAATTGCATATCTCTGGAACCAGAAGAGAGCGCCACAAAATTCAAAGTGTGTATTACTTAGGAATGTGCCCTCTATAATATATGTGAAAATGAAAATGATCCGTAAGGTATAAGTTAATCTGAACATTTACCGAATTCAGTATCCAGACGTCAATAAACCTAATAAAATCTAATAAAAATACTCGATTTTCATGTAAAAATAATGGAGACGTAAAAGGCCAAAGCACATAGACATTTCTCCTAAATTTTCTAGGAAGAATGTAGAATATAAGATTAACTGCAATAATTGTGATGCATCTTATGTTGGACAAACAGGAAGACAATTGAATACGAGAGTGACGGAGCATCAGAATCATATTAGAGAAGGAATATTTTTAATATCTCAGTTATAATAGATCACAGACGTGAATTCAATTACAATTTTGACTGATTGAGACGGGGTGGAGGTTTTGGATAACAAATCCTTTTTTAATAAAAAATTAATCTCGGAAATGGTAAATATAAAAACATAATTGTTAATAATGGTTTAAATCTGCAGACTTACACGGAATGTTTATCTGACGCCTACATGTATGTTATCGACAAGCTTCTAAAACTTTAAATACCATTCTATTTTCGACTGTATATATCATTATACACAATTAAAATTCAAGATAAAGGCAATCAGAGCCAAGCGCGTTAAGTGGAGCGCAACAAGCTTTATTTTGTGATCAATCTCTATAATAGAGTATACAAAAACCGGACGTTTCGGCTCCTTCTTCGGGCCCTCTTCAGCGCAAAACAATTACAATTAGCTTATGACATAACGGTTGTGTGTTCCTATTCGGCTAGTAAACATGGTTGTAAATAAAATTAATAAATAACGGTCGTGAGTTCTTAGTCGATATAATAAAAATAAAAACATGGTCGCCAATAAAATAGATAGAAATAAATAAATAAATAATTTAATTTTTATAAATAATAAAAAATTAGACAAACAATTAAAAGTGGAGATCTGTTCAAAATTGAACTCCAATAATTACTAAGAGCAACTATAAAACCACTCCAATAAAGCGCCGATTAATCGCGCTCGAAATTCGGCGCGTCAGCCGCCATCTCGCGCGTCGCACGGCGCGCGACAAATAGGAGCGCGCTCCAAAAGCGGCGCTACGCGAATCGCGCCAGGCCCGCGGCATCGCTCGTGCCTATCGATGCGGGCCACGCAACGGTCACCCGGGAGAGCCTCAACGACAAACAAATTGTAATAATAAGGTTCAAATTTTAACTAATCATCGAAAATAACAACCGACGCGAAAATTAAGACAAACACGTAGAAACTTCGAGAACACTAAAAAGAACGTTTGTATAAAAGCTCTCTCGGGGAACCGCCGGGCGCACTCGATCGAGATTCATCCGTGACAGTGTGTGCTTATATCGTTTAAACGCTCGCTATACAAAAGTCGCTCGCTTTTCTAATTCGTATGCTCGTTTACGAAACGCGAAGTTCACGATTATCATAAAAGAGATTTCTCGTCGCTCGCGATTAATCTCTCGTTGTTAAAACGCGCCGTTTATTCAGTCGCTCGCGGAATCGCGCCGTTTACACCGTCGCTTGCGGTATTCGCGATATATCCGTCGCTCGCGGAGATTATCGTAACGCTCCCGGTCGCTCGCCGGAGCAATCATTCGGTTAAGATTAGCATAAATCTGATCGACAAAGAACTTGTTAACTATTTATTGTTCTTAATAAATTGACTGCCTTTTTTACAAAACACTATCGTGTCCATTTCACGCGATCCTAGCGCTTCCGCGTTCACTCGCGCACAAAAAGCTACAGAATTTAGAACTTTTCTTTTATATTTAGGGCTTGTTGTTTTAAGAGATATATTAGATAATGATATGTATAAAAAATTTTTAACGCTTCATGTTGCTATTTCAATATTATCGAATCAAGCTTCTTGTAAGGAAGATTATTATTTAGATTACGCTGAAAATCTATTGAAACATTTTGTTCATTCTTTAGCAAAACTATATGGTAAAGCACATGCATCTCACAATATACACAATTTATTACATCTTGTCGCAGACGTAAAAAAATTTGGAATATTAGGCAACTTTAGTTGCTTCAGGTTTGAAAATTATATGTCAACAATTAAAAAATTATTGAGAAAAGGAGACAAACCATTGCAACAACTTTCAAGAAGATATGGCGAAATTGAAAGTGTAAATAAATATGAAAAAATAAGAAGCTCTACATTATATTTAGAAAATAAACATTTTGATGGTCCTCTACACCAAAACAGTAATATTAAAGGTCAATACAAAACGTTGCGCAATTCATTATATACGATCCGTTGTAACGATAAAAGAAACAATTGCTGCATATTAAAAAATGGAGATTATATAGAAGTGGAAAACATTATTCAATGTGCAGATGAAATAATATATATAATCGGGAAAAAATTATTGAAAGTACAAGATTTATATGACGTGCCTATGAAGTCTTCACTTTTACAAATAAATATTGTGAATAAAAATAATGAAAATCAAAATTTAAATGCATGGACCATTGATAATGTGGCAGCAAAAGCTTGGAAAATTCCATATGGCGAACAGTTTGTCATATGCCCCTTAATACATACTTACAAAAACTGATATACGTAATATATAATATGTAATATTTACAACATGAATAAGAATACGATTCAAAGAATAGTTATAATTATATTATTTGCAAATTCTGTTTGTGTTCCTATAAAATGAAATTATTTTTTTTTTGTTCATTCTATATTTATATTATGACTATATTATGACTATCTATACCACGGATGCCTAACTAGTTTTTCCGAGAGGCCAGATTTCAAATTTTAACCACTGCCTGCGGGCCAGATTAATTGCCAAACAACTTTCAAGTTATTGTCCTCTTTGCGTTACCCAGGGACTACCACGTGGAGGTGAGGCAATGACAATCTCCATTTTTGGGTTTTTTTTTGTTTTGTATTTTTTGTTTTTAATTTTTTCTATTTTGTTTTGTTTTTTTTGTTTTTTTCTTTTTGCTTTTTTAATATTAACTGTCTTTTACTGTCTTTCTACGTTATTTTTCATCTTTGAAAACTTTTGATATATATTTTTCCAAATAAAAACTAATGTGAGAATTGCGATTTGCTGTCTTTGACCAACTTGGTAAACTCAGGGTTGTAACTAGTAGTAGCAGCAACCAAACAATCCTCAAGATGACGGTCAGTTAAACGGTTTCGAAACTTGCTTTTCACATAATTCATTTTTGAGAATGCAGCTTCGCAAACATAAGCTGATCCAAACATTGTCAATACAAAAGAACCTATCTTTCGTAAATTAGGATAAGTTTCATCAGGCAAAATATCAGTCCAAAACTTGGTTATCTGTGCTGCTTGATAGCTTTCTTTCAATACACTGTTTTTCTGCAATTCGATAGTTTCCAGCTGAAGCCTGGCTTTATCAACGTAATCACTGAAAAGATGCATAGCTTGTGTAACCCAGTTACCGTTGGGTTCCATAGAAAATGGATTCTTTAAGGCAGTGAGTAAATCAGAGATTTGGCTAAATTCTGAAAACCGCGAAGAAAATTCGATCTGCACTTCATGTAAAAACTTGACAAAAGTGTTCATGTCAATGTCTTCATCAGGATTTCCTTCAATATGAGCTTTCAATGAAGGAAAGTGAAGTAATTCCTTTGAATTTAGATCGTTTTCGAACAACTGCAATTTCCGCTGGAATGCTTTTATTATTTCCCACATATCGCAGAGAACCTTGTTCTTATCTTGCAAATCTTTGTTCAGTTCATTAAAATGGGAGAACACGTCGCCCAAAAAACAAATTTTGCCAACGTTCTCTATGTTACCCAAAAATTGGAAGTACTCATTAGCAGTCTTAGTATTTCTAGAGTCAAGAAAACTATGAATTTCTGGTAGTAAGCATATCAATCTGTTCAATACATTGCCTTTACTTAGCCAGTGAACATCATTGTGAACAAGCAAATCTATGTACTCGCTTTCACATTCTTGCAAAAATGCTCTTAGTAAACGATGTTGTAGAGCCGAATGCGAGCGCAGAAAATAAACTATTTTCATAACTGCTGTCATGACATTCTTAAGATCGCCAGAAAGCTTTGCGCAAAGAACAGCTTGATGAATTATGCAGTGCAAAGCAATAATCTTGGAATTTAGATTTTTCATGAATGCAATGAAACCATTGACTTTACCAGTCATAGCCGGTGCACCATCAGTTGCTATCGAAAAAATATTGTCAAACAAAAGATTGTCAGATTCCATGAACTTTTGAAAATTTTTGAATAGTATTTCACCGGTTGTGCGATCGTGAAGTGGCAATAATGTTAAAAGTTCTTCTTTGAATTCACTGTTCCAAAGATACCGAACATAAACTGCCATTTGCGAAATATCAGAAATATCAGTTGACTCATCAATTGCAAGTGAAAAAATTTTGCTTTTTGCAGATTACGCAAAATGTTTTCTTGGACTGATCTTGAGCAAGATTCAATTTTTTTAGTTGCCGTGTTGCGCGACAAAGGAATTTTCTTCAATGTTTCGGACACTTCTTTTTTATTTTCGAAAAGTATATTCGCGGCTTCAAGTAAGCATAACTTAATTACTTTAGAGTGAGAATAGGGAATCATATTTTTCGCCATAATCCAAGAGATTCGTAAAGAAGTTTCGGTGCACTTTTCCTGCTCAGTCAGAGCGTGTTTCATTATTAAGTTTGATTGTTCATATGAGTTTTGGAGCGATGCTATTTTTCATTACGTAGAGATCCTTTTGGGTATTCTCTGTCATATTTAGCGGCATGTTTTGAATTATAATGTTGCTTCAAGTTAGCGGCCTTGTTAACCGCCACGGTTTCATTGCAAATTAAGCATATTGGTTTGGCATATTTCTCAATGAAGATGAAGAAATACTCTTCAGTCCATTGCAATTGAAAAGCTCGATTCTCCGAATCAACTTTTCGATGTTTTGGTCCGGACATTTCGATTGTCAGAGAAGCGAGAAACGCAGTACGAAGCTAGCTTTAAGCGAAACTAAATTGAAAATGAGCGGTAAGCGACTGGTTTGCAAGTTCATACGAGCAATCAGAGAAATGTGCGTAGAGAGCGCAGGAGAGAAGTGCAAAAAGATAAATAAATCTATGAGCACGGGTCTGTTTCATTGAAACATTCGGAATTTTACACTCACAGTCATCTCCTGTCAGCAGTAATTGAAATCTGGGAATTGCAAATCAATTCCACGAAAATCGTATTCTTAATACACTGGAATCTCGCGCGCAGTTCGGGGCTCTGAATATAACGATATTGCTCCTACTTTACTCCCGAATCATGAAATTCGAAATCGTCGCGTGAGACTTGCACGAACACGTCCTTACCAAACAAGTCGCTAGGACTTAACAAAAGATACACGCTAAAAATATGCGCTACTACGCGGTTGAGACATCCCCACTCACGCTACTTACGTGCGTCTAGTCGCGAGCTAAAGCGCTTCCGTCGTCTCGATAACCTCGATAGAGCGAGACAAAGAGTAAATAAAAAAGAATACTAGCGTCTATCCTTTTTTGTTTACTCTCTGTCTCACTCTATCGAGACTATCGAGGCGACGGAGAAATGGGAGCGCTTTAGCTCGCGAGCCGGGTTTTGAACA